CATATGCTTGCTTTTTAAATATAAGATTTTTTAATGTTTACAGTATATTCATATTCTGCAAATGCCAAGCATTTGTAATTTTGTATCCCAAATAAATTGCCAGGTTGGTCAATTACATTTTACTTTGAAATCCCTAAACTCCTTATAAAAATAATTAACATACCTATAGTTTGTTTTATGAAAGGAATTGGTTTTCTGGATTCAAAAATGCAAGAGATCTTCACTATTTTTAAACATCCAATTTATAATTAAAAACTTTACTAGAAAAAGTGATACATTTGGTACTTAAGGGAAGGAGTCATTAAGTGAAACTGCAACTGTACCTATGATCTTATTTTAGTTCTCCTTTGCTTCACAAACCTGTAAAGGCTATAAATGTTGAGAACTGGTTGTAAAAGTACTTTTTCATTACTGTGATAATTGCAAATGGTCACTAAATAAGACAGTCATGGAATTCAAAATATACGTATAGTTTGAAGCAAAGGGAATTGCATAAGACATAAAGGATGTACCACTGTCTGCAGTGAATCCCTTCTATTTTTCTTTAATACTTATACTAGACACCACTTGACTCTATTTACAGATTGTTCCCAGTATGAATGCTAAAAGCAAAATCTTATAGAAATTAGTTCAAATTTAACTAGGTGTAGTTCAAACAGTCTCATTTATAATAGTGTTCTGACACATGAAAACCATAATGTCCCTCACTTCCAGGATTATAATTTTCAGATTTAACTTGTATCATATGGGTCCTCTGTAATTCCAACAGATTTATTCTGCTCTGTTGTCTCATGAGATTTATTTAATATCTATTTGCCACACATCCATTACAGATTAATCAATCATTTAATGGAGTCATTCCTTATGAATTGTTCAGCATATAATCATCTAAATTCTCATTAGTTAATTCTTTAAAGTGTCAAACATATATTTTCCATCACTAGTATGTATTGTGCATATGACAATTTCCAGAGTGGAACTAAAGTTCTGAAGGCTGTTCCTATTATATATGTGCTGCTTTTGCAGCTGTTAAGTATACATGATTCTTCCCAGTTCTAAAAAATGTAATCCTACTACGAAAGAAATTTACCACTCTGTTATTCCAGTCTTCCCCCAAATATAAAATGTCAGATTCTTCAATACAAGGTTTTGGTGGATAAGTAAAATCACCCCAACCCAATTTATAGAATAAGAAAACCACATTTCATCTTACTTTTTTTCCTTTCCTCCCACAGGCCAGACCATTTGAACAGCCATGTTCGACAAGTCCACTCAACAGAGAGACCCTTCAAATGTGAGGTATTTTTTCCCATTGATAACGTTGTTGTACTTATTTATGCTCAAGTGTTCTGGGCAGCCTACCTGATGCAAGAGGGAACAAAGATGACCTGTACATTAAGGGAACCTTAAGCACACTTTAGTCTTTAGCTGTTAAATGCATTGGGCAGTGGACCCATGGCTATAACATTTATATAATTCTTTTGCTGCTATTTTTGCAGACTTGTGAAGCAGCTTTTGCCACTAAGGATCGACTACGTGCTCACACAGTCCGTCATGAGGAAAAGGTGCCATGTCACGTGTGTGGAAAGATGCTGAGTGCTGCCTATATCACAGACCACATGAAAGTACACAGCCAAGGGCCGAATCATGTCTGTGAACTGTGCAACAAAGGTAAGAGAATAGGGCTCAGATAGGTAACATTTGAACTTAACTGTAAATATAAATATTACTGTTGCTTTTAAAATGTGCTAAGAAGCCCTTTATGCAAATGTGTGCAGGTTTTCTTAGGTTTCATTCAGTTTCATTGGAATTTAATTGCAGTAAATTAATTTAGTCTTTCCCTTACTCTTTCCTTCAGGAATCTCTCAGTCATAAATCTCTTCATTCTTGACTAACCTGTTTGAAGGTAAAATTAAGTTCAGTTTCAAACATTGGCAACTGCCCGAACAAATCATTTCAGTTAGTGGGTTGCCATTGCCACCTTCCTAGAGCTGAGGAAGAATGGCTGGCCTAAGTCACCTCATTGATTTCATAACCTAATGCAGTACTAGAATTAGTTTCCCCGTTTCTAACTTATTTGAATATTACTACTTTTCCATAAAATTTAAAATAAGCTGCATAATTTCCGTCAACTAGAATACAGCAAAATAGCCTTGTATAATGACTGAGGCCTTGTGGAAGGGGTGAGTTCTGGCAAATGCTGTGTGGAAAAAGGTGGATTTAAATACAATTAAAAACCTTTAAACGTGGAACCAAATTTGCTGTCCACGGGCAATTCTGCAAAAATGCAGATGAGGCCTGTTAAGATTATCCATAATATATCTTGGAAATACAATGAATTACTGAAATTGAAGTCTCTTAATACTCAAGTGTTAATCAGGCTGCCAATTTATATTTGTTTACAATAAGCAAACTGCTTGGCAATACAAGTAGTTCCCTATATTTCTTTCTCCCATTTATATGTCAAAGCATTTCCTTAGTTTCATTTTGTAAGACACTGAAGAGATTTATAGTATGCAGTATAAGTGAAAGGTAATGCTTCTTATTTCTATGGATATAGTCCAATGAATTGATAGATGTGTACCAGAAATAATCTTAAGAATGGTTGAAAGGCGATTGCCTAATATCTGCAGTGGATGTGTCTGTTCCAACCCTATCCATCTGATAGCTCAGTATCCCACATGATCTTGACAATGCAACAGCCTTAATACATTAATTAAAGTTATTAGACAATGTACAAATTAAAAATTGTAGAATTTAAAAATTTTAACAGTGCTTTTAATATATCTCCTGGATTACATTTTTGATTAATGTGTTATCCATATATTAATAATATATGTTCATATATCTGGAATCTCAGAAACATAAAATAGCAGGGGTTTGGGGTTTTTTGTTCACTTTTGGCTCTGATTTGTAGTGAATTAAATAATAGAAATACAACATTATAAATTTCTTGTAGGGGGATTCTACTGACATTCTCTTACCAAAATGTTTCTGTTGAAGGTTTGGTGATTTTATATTAAAGAGATTTAGGTTATTTGTACTCTACTGATTTCCTTAGTAGCAATATGCAGCTGCCCTTAGGGTGGGATGTGCTGTTTGTACAGTGATAACTTGCTTGGTGGCAAGAAACAGCTGTCTTTGGGCTGAGAAGCTGTCTCTGAAATTAGGAAAGCTTGTCGCAATGAATCTTTCACTAAGTTTCAAGACACAGCCACCTCTAAGATGAAGCCACAGCCAAGCATTTCAGGACACCGGGTTAACACTTTCATTAGGCCGGACACTGACCTGGCTGGTTTTTGTCCTTCTCCCCCTCCCGTAGGGTTCACCACAGCGGCCTACCTCAGGGTGCACGCGGTCAAGGACCATGGACTAGCCGCCCCGCGGCTGGAGCGTTTCCTTTGCAAGCTGTGTGGCGTGCACTGCAAGACCCCAGCTCAGCTCAACGGGCATCTGCAGACGCACGCAGGAGAAGGGGCCGCGGCCACTGAGGGCCAACCGCTGCGGTGAAACATTGGCCGGGCCACCAGGCAAGAGCGGCTTCCTTCAGTCCTGGGAAGTGGGAGGAGGGGCATTTTTCCCCTAGGATTGTTTAGGCACCCTTATATTTTAAGTGACAAAAGGGAGAATCCCAGCTCCCTGGGGCAGCTGCATCCTACCTTAGCATCTTTTTGCCAGTTTAAAGTGCTGTGTATAGCAGTATCTGACTAGTATGATTTGACTGATCTTCCTGCAGGTTCATCTTCAGGATTTGAGCTGTAATTTTTAAAAAGCCATACACAATCCATTGAGTGTTGTATTTATCTGAATATTTTTCTACGGGGATTATGGTGTTTTTTTAATGTTAAAACCAGGAGGGTTGGGGATATCAACAAATACCTTTATGTTATCAACAGATACAAATCCATTGGTAAGTGTTTTAGCTTCTTTTTGCCTTTACAGATGGTTGCTTGCATTATGCATCCTGGACAGATCCATTTTATTTTACATTGTACTCTACATTTTCCTAATCCAGACATTTAAGTGATAAATTGAGTTTCCATTTTGTCTTCAGGAGGAGGATTAACAATTAGTGCCAGCCTGACCTTATTTAATTCGCATATGCAGACTTAACATACTTAATCTGTTCAGCTTTTTAGAGAGAAATTCTACCAGGCTGTGGATAAATAGGGTATTTTGGAGAAAGGATAGCTGCATGGTGGGATTCAATTTTTTTTTACTACCAGTTCTGTGGGCATGGCTTGGTGGGCGTAGCAGTGGAAGGACTGTAAAATCTCCAGTCACAGGTGGTATTTGCTGGTTCTCCGAGCTACTCAAATTTTCCACTACCAGTTCTCCAGAACTGGTCAGAACCTGCTGAATACCACCTCTGGCTGCACCTCTTCTTTACCTCATTAAACCAGATTATTAAACCTGAACTAGTGTAAGGTAATAAGAGGATGTAGGAAGCGAGTTGAAAGCTTGGGCTAATAACAGTAAAAGTTTGGTGTATGAACATTCTGACTTTCTATTCTCTTCCTCCACAGGTACGGGTGAGGTCTGCCCCCTTGCTGCAGCCGTCTCGGCTCCACTTCCAGCTGCAGTCACGGTGCTGCCCATGGAGGGAGCTTCAGTTGTCAGCCAAGCCCTCCCCACACAGCCCTGGTGATTTCTGGGAGTGGGGAGACAGAAGCCAGTCCTCCCAGTTCCATCCCTCTCCCTCATTGGCAGCTGGAGCCTTCAAGCCCAGATGGATATTCAGTGGCCATATATGGGTTTCTAATGTAATGGCAGTTTCATTCATTCTCTCTCCCTGCCTGTGTTCAAAAAATAGTGGAGCTGGGAAAGCATCTCCTCAGCAACTCTTGTTCAGAGGGGCATGAAAGGACTTTGTGCATTTTGACAGCACCCTCATTTTATTGATTCCCTTACTATTAACTTGTGGCCCTCAGAACAGTCCTGGAAATACATTCATTTCTGTAGTCCATGGTCTAATTCTAAGCCAAATAACAATCTTTAATCACAGTAGAACTTGCTTATTCCAGCAGTGCCCCCTGTTGCCCCCAAATGAACTTCACTAAAAGAGGGAGATAATGAGACAGAATGACTTAGTAAGCTCAGCTCACAGACCAAGGGAGATCGAAGACTGGAATAGTTGTGGGACATAGTATAAGCAACATTGCAGGAGAAGGAGTACAGAGTTAGAAATAAGTTGGTTGAGGGGTTGACAAAACTTGGGGAGCCTACAGAGAAGTTAGAAGGGGGTACAGGTTGGGATTTTGCGGCATCATTGGGTGCCTGGTGTCTCATGACAGGTTGTGGGGGCTGCAGTGAGATGAGATGGAAAAGGGCTGTATTTCTTTCTCCATGGCTTCAATGTGGAGTGTTCTCCATTTCTGTACTGAGAATCTGCTCTGAATTCCTCTCCTTGCCCAGTGCCTCATTCTTCCATGGTGTCTTTTAATGCTCCATTTCCTCAGCTTCTCTTGTGATTTGTGTTCCAAGTGCATCAGCCCTTCGCATCAAGCACTGATGCCCCACCTGCTGAACACCTCCTTTGTTGCATGCAACCCCCACAGTTCGGGGTTAGAGTCTCTCGCTTTTTTGTATTATATATATTAAAAAAAAATCCCCTGACATTTAAAATAACCCTCCTTTGTGGTTTTTCTTTTGTTGTTAACACAAATGTAATGAAGCTGTGTCCCTCTATATCCGCTGTCCCTGTTCCTTCTCAAATAAGCCCTTCCTCCCCATCCTTTCCTCTTTTGTGAGCCCTTTCTGGATCTGTGTCTCAGCAGCAAAAGATTTTAGTAAAACAATTGAAGGGAACAATCCACACTTGTGTCAATTTATTGTCAGATTATTTTGATATCACTTTGTGGGAAAAAGAAGTATCCCGGTTCCTGGCTCCTCTTGCATCTCCTTTTATCATCATATTATCTTGGGACCTTTCATATCTATTTAAAATGTGTAATGGATTAAACATCAGGTTGCATATTTCCACTCTAAGTGAGTTCCTAAACCACTTCCTTGTTACTTCCAATTACTCATGGGACTGCTTTCTGGGTCATGGCTTAGAGCAGGGGTCTCCAACCTTGGCAACTTTAAGACTTGTGGACTTCAACTCCCAGAATAGAATAGAATAGAATAGAATAGAATAGAATAGAATAGAATAG